AGATGTAAAGACATGCCATGAAACTTGTGAGATCGGGTAAGTGATAAACGTATGTCTGCCTTCATGCTGCTTTTTAAACATACCGCCTCGTCCTTTTCGTATTCCTGGTTACCCATAAAGGATCGCAGAACAGCTAGGGCACGGTATGGGCTAGTTGGGGGAGGGGCATTCGCTGGTCGCCCCCCCCCCCCTCCCAACCGCGGCAGTCGGCCTGAGCTATGATGACGCTAACGGACTTGGAGCTGCACGCGTCGTCAAACCTCAGTAACTACTGTTATGACTGGACACCGGCTACAGAGCCATAGTGTCAGCGTCTTTCCCGGCAGTTAGGCCGTGTTTACCTGGACGCTACCTCACATGCACGTTGGCGCGCGCCCGCAATGTATGTCAACACGCCGCGCCCGAGCGGGTTTGCGTGGCGGCCGCGCGGCGCGGAAGTAATCTGCGAGCGATGCGGGGTTTCTGGACGGCTGCGTCGCGTTACGTAAGGCGCCGGCGGCGGCGGCCGCGGCCCTGTTCTGCTCGCTGGCGCTCGAACGTGCCTCGCTGGGGTCGCCACCGTGCGCGTGGGTCTTGCTGTCTCCATTTTGCCAATTGTTGCCAGCGGTCTCCCTGCCCTTCGCGATCACTGCCGTATTTGCTGGCTTCGCCTGTGACGGTGGTGGCTTGTGAGACAACTTCGAGTTGTCGTTCAGATCGGTTAGGACGTGCAGTTTCGCTGAGTTTGAATCGACAGCGTACTCAGTGCCTCGGGCCCTGTCTGTGTATACGACGTAGGCAATGTGTGCTGACCAGGCGTGTCGTTCGAGTCAGGCCACACCTTCTCTGGGTGTGTGTGTGTGCGTGTGCGTGTGCGTGTGCGTGTGCGTGTGCGTGTGCTGTGTGTGTGTGTGTGTGTGCGTGCGTGCGTGCGTGCGTGCGTGCGTGCGTGCGTGCGTGCGTGTGTGTGTGTGTGTGTGTGTGTGTGTGTGTGTGTGTGGCCGGTGTTGCGTTCGTCGGGTCTCGAAGGCCTTGCTCAACGGACACGGAGGGAATGCCTGCGCAGCAGTAGGACACTTCCCGGATGTGTGCGGCTGATGTGCTCCGGAGTGTGAACGAAACATTCGTCAGATTTGCGGCGCCAGCGGACGGAAAGAAACTGTGTCGCGAATCGTAAAACTGGGAGGTACAAAGCACTCGTGCGTCACTGTGACGTCACGGTGGCGTCACCATAACGAAAGGGAACAGGCCTCACCACATCTGTGGAGTGCAAGCGGTAAGAGGCCATAGAGAGCGCATATTGGCCCCGATCTCGCTGCTTCTTCAGACGCCAGTTGTGCAGATGCTCACCTGCGTTCACCTCAGCCGTTGGGAGTGAGCTGCCGTTTTGTGATTGTTGTGCTTGTGTTTGTGTTTGTGGCGCCGATTGCTGTCTTTGTTGTGCTTGTGTTTGTGGTGGTGATTGTTATCTTCGTTGTTTGTGCTTGTGGTGCGGATTGTCATCCTCGTTGTGTCTGTGTTTGTGGTGCTGATTGCTATCCTCGTTGTGTTTGTGTTTGTGGTGCTGATTGTTATCATCGTTGTGTTTGTGTGTGTTGGTCGCGATGTGCTCAGATTCAAACGTCATCATTTGCGTCAGTCCATCCCACGTGATATTTTTATCACGGACAACGACCTTGATTGCAAGTATAACCATGATAACGACCGTGGCATTTTACTAATGAAGCCGATTGTGGTTATTTTGACGATGACACTGCTGATGATCATCATAATGGCACCGGTCATGCCCCTGATGGTGGTGTAGAACATGATAATGTCGATTATAACTGATGTCGAGTGTAATGATGTCGATTGTAACTGGTGTTTATTCCAACTGATGTCAAGTATAACTGACGTCACTTATAACTGGTGTCTATTGTGACTGACTTCGATTATAACTGATGCCGATTATAACTGAGTCGATTCTACCTGCTGATTATGTTAGTGGAGGTGATGATGGTGATAATGCTGATGCTGACGCTGATGTTGATGCTGATGCTGACGGCGCCGCTGCCGGCAGGTCGCCGCTGCTGCAGCCGCACGGCGGCGCGGCCGGCGACTATCCGCCCCCGCTAAGCCTGCCGGTGCTGCGGCCCCGGGACGAGTACATCTCGGCGCTGACGGAGGTCGAGCGGCTCATGCAGGAGCGCGACCTCCTGCTGGAGCGCCTGCTCGCCATGGAGCTGGTCAGTGCCCGACGCAGCGCGAGGGCTGGGTTCGATTCCCGGCGCGGGAAGATTTTGTCTGCCACGGTTTGGCGTAGGAAGTGTGGGATTCAGATGGATTGGGATTGGAGTGGGATTGGAGGATGGAGTGGGATTGTGGGATGGTGTTTGGGTTGGATTCGCGACCGCGGAAGAATGCGCGGCGCTGATTTTTCTCTTCTTTTTTTTTTGCATTGCGGCGTGGCGACGTCGGGTGTCGTGGCAGTTGCTCGCAGCGGAGGTGGCGAAGCGGGGAATACGTTGTGTTGACGCTGGCTATCGCGTCAGTTGTGCGCCTAGATAATTAAGATAGCATTGCCGCACGTAAATGCAACTGAAGGTATCTTCCCGAGGAGAGCCTCCGCGGGCATCGCTACGTGCCTAGCTGTGTGCCTAGATAATTAAGATAGCATTGCCTCACGTAAGTGCAACTGAAGGTATCTTCCCGAGGAGAGCCTCCGCGGAGGTGGGTCTGGTCAGCCGCCCGGAGCGAAAGCCGGTAAACATGCCGGCGCTGTCAGCACCCAGCCCGCAGCCGATCATGGAGCCGCTCAGACCCCATCGCTTCGTGAGAGAGCTGGTGTTCTGGTCCGAGCTGGATAATTGTCATCGCTTCTGAGACGTCACACGGACCGTACCGCCGCCCTCCGCCGTTGGGAGCGCTCTCATGGCAACACCTGCGCGCTGCCACCTCGCGCCGGGTGACCGGGTGGGAGCGGCATCTCCGCCGCCGGACCAGGACCACCGGCATTCGTTCGGCGATGGGCGGAGCTCCGGTGGGCGTGGTCGCGGGGTGGGCGTAGCCTGCGGCGTGGCGTCCGTGAGGGGGCCGTTGGGGCGGCGCGTCCTTGGGCGGTGCCGCGGTCGGCTGAGCGCGCTGAGTGGTCCGGCGCGGCTCGGCGCGGCCGCCGGAGGAGGCCCGGCCGCGGCCGCCGCGCTGGCAGCGTGCCGTGATGCGGGCCGCGCTGGCGTGAGCGGGCGCGGCGGAGACGGCGGCGGCGCTGCTGTGAGTTCTGGAGGAGTGCGAGAGTGACTGGGCGCTGTGGAGGAGAGGTGGAGAAGAGTGGCGGGGTGCTGTGAGTGGGGAGTGAGCAGGCCTGGCCGGCCTGGGCGCTGAGGTCGTGTGCAGTCAGGTCTGGTCTGGTCTGAGGTCTGGTGGAGGAGGGACGATGCAGCGGTTGAGCGTGTTGGGTGCTGCGGAGAGGTGCGGGAGGTGCGGATCGGCTATTTTTGAGCTGGGGACCATTCTCCTCGGGGCAATCGCTGACTGCCGACTGTTAACGGGAGCCGACTGTTAACGCGTCGGGAGCTCGGGGACGCATCTCTAGTAACCTGAGGACGTGCCGGTCGCTTCTCGCCTGTGTAACGGGACTTTTTGGCGTTCGAGGTGAAACGGAGAAATCTTATTTTTTTAAGGAACCGTGACGCGCATCGTCACGCCACTTTTATGGGACGCAAGCGACTGTGATGATCGTATTAGCGCTCAGGGACCATGGCGCAATCGGGATCGAAACGCAGGCCCCCACTTGAGAGTCCGACGATGTAACCATTCGGCCATGACGCCCCCCAAACGGAGAAATCAGGGCTGTTGGGAAGGGCACTGGTTGCTGCTGTACTGGCTGCGTTCGTACGCTTGCCACGATCGCTTGTGGTAGCACTCCGAGAGTGAATATGAGTGTTCTGAGACAGCGGTGAGTGCCGCGCGCCTGCCGAACCGGTGTTGCGCCCTCGACACGTGCGCCCGCAGCACGTGTCGAGGACTTGCGTGTCGGCTGTGCGGCACACGCGTCGCGGTCCTCGTGGCTCGGCCGTTCATGCAGACAGCTGTTGCGAAACGTGTCTGGCTTAGCGGGCAGGGAAGGGAGTCTCATTGCGTACCGAATCCACCCGAGGTTTTAGGGAAGCATCGGAATCGGCCGTCCCAATGGGGGAGGGTTGTTCCATGCTGTGTGTTGTCGGCCCCCGTGATTAGGCACTCTTTTCATAGGGTTTACGCTGACTGGCCGCTGGAATCGACTGGGGGTGATCTACCCCGTGACATTTGTGTGCTTTGTGATCGAACTGTGCGACATGCCCTGCGATTCACACCATGAGTCCCATAAGAGTGGTGTTGTGCCCATCAGGATATTGCACTGAATGTTTCACAGTGTTTCCCCTTAGGTAGCAGCATTGTCGCAGGCGTACATTGCCCGCGTAACTCCCGTTGTCTCTCCTAGATGTCAGCACCGTCGCTGGCTCACCTCCCCGCGTTAACTCGGCGCGTCGTCGCCAGGTGGCGGTGCGGTCGCAGGGGCAGGCCGCCAGTCTCCAGACCCGTCTGCAGATGGTCTCGGCCGCCAACGAGGAGCTGCGCCGGGAGCTGCGCCTGGCCAGCTCCGGGCGCTGCGAGCTGGACGCGCGCATCCACGACATGCACCAGCAGTTCGTGCGCACCCGGCGGCCGCGCGCGACGCCGGCGCCGCTGGCCAGGTCGACGCCCGACCTGCGGCTACCCTCGCGCATCCCGCAGCCGCTGTCGCTGCGGAAGCGGACGGGCACCGAGCCGGCCTCGCTGCGGCCGCCCGGCTCTGCTGCTGGCGCTGGTGCTGGTGCTGGTGCTGGTGCTGAGGGCGGAGCTGGCGCAGGCGCTGGGGTCCTGGCGGCGTCGTCTGCGTCCGCCGCGTCCACCGCCGCCGCCACCGCCGGCGCTGACGCTGCCGCCCCGTCGGCGGCGGCGGCAGAGATGGCGAGCCGCCACACGCAGACGGAGCCGCCAGCCGCGGCGGCGGGCGGGCGGCCGCGGCCGGACCGTGCGCGCGTGGCGGCCATTCTGCGCGAGTCGGACCCGCAGCGGCTTCAGCGCCAGCTCCTGCTCATGCTGGTGGAGGCTGAGGTGAGAGGAGAAGAGGAGCGGGCCACATGCGGGGCGGGGGCCGGGCGGTAGGGGTAAGTGGCGGCCCGGAGAAAGCGTGGTGAGGGGACGGGGGAGGGGGGGAGGGGGTCCACCAGTGTGCTACACGTCTCGTTTGGCGCGAAGAGAGGTCTAATAGCGATGTGTTTAAGCGGAAGCAACGGGGTGCATGTCAGTAGCGAATCACGTTATGTGCGGGTGTTTGTAACGACTACAGGGTCGGCGGGATGGCAGGTGTTTCCTCAGCTGAAGAATGACAAAGTGAAGGGTGTCACTTGAAAGTGGATTGGGTGGATTGACCACGTGAGTTGGGTGGGCGAGGAGGGGCCGGGTATGTGAGAAATCTGGAGCTGTTAGAGAGACATGTCCTGTTAGCGTAGACACTTGTCGGGAGGTGGCTCGTTTGCAGGTGAGCGTGTTTGTCCCGTGATTAACACGCGTTTGCCACCACGCGTGGTAGCGAGCTTGTTCATCCTGCATGGGTCATCACGCTGTAACTCTCCACCTGGTCATCACCAGTTTCATGGAGTCGCACATGGTGTAGGGCATCACGTGGCGGGGCTGATTCACGGGCAGGGTCTGCTTCCCAACGTCCTTTACGTAGTCCTGCAGCACGCTGTGTAATGGGCGGATGACTTGGCGCGTGTTGTGGCCGCCAGGATGGCTTGGTTGGTCCGGTTTGTGCGTGCCATGCCCAGTCGCGCGCGCCAGTGGTGACATCTGCCGGGTGCGTTCCCAGGTCCTGCGCAGTCAGCTGGCGGCGCTGGGTGGTGACCCTAAGCGTGACCCCGGTGGCGGTGACCTCGACGCGGCGCCTGAAGCCGACCCCCGCAATAAGGTGGCCGCCCTGCAGCGAACCAACGGTGATCTGCGCCTGCAGGTGCGGCTTCGGCTTTGATAGCGCGCCAGGGTGCGGTCAAAGTCGTGCCAAGTTTTATTGCAGTGCGGGTGGATGCCGCTTGAGACATACCGCGAATACCAACGCTGTGTCCAACATTTCGCATTCAAAATGCCCGGCGCGTGGTGTGTTTTTCTGTGTGTCTTACGATTGGTATAGATAAGACAGTAATAATAGCCTTATTCCTCGGAGAAAAACCGGAAGAGTAGAGATATAGTTAGGTTGATATTTCGGACAATATGCTTTTCTCGAAACAATACTATTATTTCGATAAACTACAATACAACTATTGTTTTGATAAACACATGTTGCCGAAGTATTAACCCAACTATATCTCCATTCTCCTGGCGTTCCCCCGAGGAATAAGCCTGTTACTATTGTCTTAGCTATGTGAATAATGTTCCTCGCTAATGCATTGAACGACCTTATGATTTGTGTTGAAGCAGCCGCTCGGTTATGCCATCCACATTTCGGATAAATATGACATACATGCGCAACACCCCAAATGATATTAATTACGTATTTTGGTCTGTTATGGGCGGATTCTTAAACAGGATGCTGTACTGGTGCGGAGGAACATAAACCAAAAGTATCTTGAGCCAGAAACAGTCACATGCCTTTACGGCTTCCTCAATACCAGTTTTTTTAAAAATAAAAGCATTTCGCAAAGCAACGAAATCTTAAGTCACGTGTTTTACCTGCGCCCATGATAATCCCAATGAAAAAAAAATTCGGCCCCAAACAGCGCGCACCTACGCCACAGGGGGGGGGGGGGGGGGCGCACGAACGGTGACAGATCGCATGTGAGGGGCTCACGCGAAGCGAACGACACGCGGAACAGAGATAGCGCAAAGGGCGGATGCCGGGAGCCCGGGTACAAGCTGCCACGATGAATACGTGGGTTTAGGTCTGGTTTGGGGTGACGAACTAGACCTGAACACCGGTGTAGCACTGTTGGATTTGCCGCTTGCTGTAGCGGTTCGAGGAGCTCTTTCGTCTTTGTTGTCGAATAACGCAGGCATTTTTACCTAGCTGGAGCTTGTCTTGTCTTGCCTTGTCCTAGCTGGAGCTTGTCTTGTCTTGCCTTGTCCTAGCTGGAGCTTGTCTTGTCTTGTCTTGTCCTAGCTTGTCTTGTCTTGTCTTGTCCTAGCTGGAGCTTGTCTTGTCTTGTCTTGTCTTGTCTTGCTGGAGCTTGTCTTGCGGCAGCGTAACCCATCTGCTCCTAGACAACTTCTTGTTACTCACAAAATATGGCGATTTTCTACTCCATCTCGTCCATCCCGTCCACCCTGTCCACTCTGTCCACCCCGTCCAGCCCGTCCAGCCCGTTGTTCATCTTCCGGAGTCGAGCTGGCCTTTCGCGCACCCCGCCTGTCATTACGCCGCCGGGCCTGGGCCTGACCTGACCTGACCGTGGTATTTGGCGGCAGCTGGAGGAGCGCCGGATCGAGCTGGAGGGCACGCGCGCCCGGCTCCGGCAAGCTGGAGACGCCGTCGCCGTCGCCGGCGGGCGCCGCGCGGGCCGCGCGCCGGTCGGCCGGCCGCGCGCATGGGGCGGCGCCAGCCTGTCGGCCTCGCCGCACGACCGAAGCCTGGGACACTCGAGCATACCGGTGCTGGGTGCGCGCGGCCAGCCCGACACGGCAGCGACGCCGGCCACGCTCCGGACACGCATGGCGACGGACAGACGGCGGCCGGCGGCGGCAGCGGCCGCGGCACCCCCGCCCCCGCCCCCGCCCCAGCCCCCGTCAGGGCGGGCGGCCTGGCGGACGCGGGCGGTCGGAGCTGGTCCGCTCGGTGGGGTCGCTGAGCACCGGCGCCGGCGCGGGCGAGGGCGGCGGCGGCGGGCGGGCCGGCGCCGGCGGCGATCTCGCCACAGTGCGCGCCATGCGCCAGCTGAACTGGACGCTGCGCCGCGCGGCCGGCGCGCCGCCGACGCCGCCGCCGGGCCCGCGCGGCCCCGACCGCGCCCAGGAAGAGGTCAAGACTAAGGTACGCGCCCGCGCTCTCTGCGAGCTTTGGCTGCGGACCGAAGGAAAGACCTAATCTCTCTGGCTGTCTAACTAGGCTCTGTAAGTGTGCGCGCAGGCGCCTGACGTTCTCTCACGCTAAGCACGGGTGCTCGCGGAGCAGGTGGGGGACGTCGGTGACGCACGATGGCATGTCATTCGCGCGGGGCTTCGCTCCGCTGTCTCGCAGTAACGCCCGGAGACGCCGAACCGTTGGTAGATCGCAGTGGTGACGCGGGGTGAGGACGTCATAGCGACGATTGCCGGTCGTGTGGCAAGGCGTCAAGAGCGAGGCCGCCCGGGGCGGCTTGTTGTGCGGTCCCGTCTCAGGCCGGGGCGCCGTTTGACTGGCATCGGACCGAGTCGTTTCAATCGCGCGGCGTCGAAGACTGGCACCCCGTGGATGACATGCCGTTCAGCTCACCGGCTGGTGTTCTGGTAGCTAATAAATGTGGCATCTTGTGTGACTATCGGCATGCCCTACTAAACAGCCTGGAATCTGCACGTCTTCCATGCTAACCGCCGCCTGTCTGTTGGTTTTGCCGCCACCGCCTGCGCGTTGCCGGCTTTCCCTTCGGCTCCCCGCTAGTGTTTTCTGGTCCAGTTTTTGCCCTGCATGGTTTCACGGCGTCTTTGCCCGCGCACAGGTGAAGCTGGACTAGGGACTGGGCTGGCAGCGATGTCCGCTGGGCAGGTAATGACTGCCCCCCTCCCCCCCCCCCTCCCCCGCTCCGCCCGCCCTCACCGTCACCGGCTTTCCCCTCAGTGCGGGCCGCTCTTTAGTCCTCGTCGCCTGTCTCATGTCCCGGCTCGTGTCGTCTGTAGGGCGTTCTTGTCGCGCGAGAAGAGGCTGGGAGCGCGTTTGGTGCCAGCTCAGGTCCCCACTCCGACATCGATCGCACTAGTGTTATGTTTTTTGGCGGCCTGGGAGGGAGCGCAACAAAAATGCTCTGATTTGCCTGCCCTCGAGATGAGCGACGTGGTCCTGTCAGCGCCCCAGCTGTCTTGTTTGTCCCTCGTAGTCCGCAACTGGCGCTTCCCAAACGACCTCCGGCTCTCCGGAGTCGCGTTGGTCTGCCACGACACTAAATAGCACGGTGGTAGTGGGGCTTGTAACGGCTCTAAACGGATCGTGGCTCAAACCTGTGAGCAAGATGGTCTCTTATCGGTGGATTTTGCGTCGCCCTTAGTGCTAACAAACCCTGAAATTCGCGGCTGTCTTATCCTGTTGGCGTCAACTCATGTCACTTGTATTGAAAATAGAATAGCGTATAAGCGGTAAAGGGTCTGTAGGGGCCGCTGCTTCTTTGTCGGCACTTCCTCTAGCTTGCGCCTTGGTAACTGTCATGGCACCGCCATCTCCTCACAAACGAAACAGTCCTGTCGAGTGCAGCCAGTATTTCATTGGGTGAAAGTCTCACAAATGCGTATTGCATGCCAGTACGGAATAGGCTATCAGAAAGTGGTTATTTTTTTGTTTCCCTAGGGTCCTTGTCTTGTTAGTTGCCCTTTTTGCACGTCTTTACCAGGCTCCTCTTATCGAGTGTCTGCACATGCTTTGTCTGCTTTTTTGGAGCGCAGACGTGCCGCCTGGGTGCGTCTTGGTTTGTTTTGCTCGACTGGTCTTGTGCTTGTTGTGTTTTACTTGTTTCGTGAGCTTTGCGCTATTTTCTCCGAGACGTTTTGCTTTGCGTGACGCGATATCCTGTGACCTGCATGCAACATATCCATATCCTGCATGCAACGACGCTTGCAATGTCCCGCTTGCAAGGAACCAGGCGTGTTGCCTGCCCGTAATCTTCATGTTCGCGGACGAACTAAGTCGTTGATTTTTTCGCTTGCCTCGCGCGCGGCCCTCCTCACCACGGCACTTCCCCACTGATTTCACAGCGCGGCAGACGCGAGGGCCGGTTGCAGCGGCATATCTGTCTGTCCGCTGACCCTCGCCGCTGTTCGCGCCACGTGCCTTTGATGCATCCCCAGCTCACCGTTCCAATGGGCCTTATTTCCGCCCGTGGTGTAGTTGGCTCCCGTGCTGGCCTTGCTTTGGTGGCCGTGTGTTTCGGTCTGGCCTCCTTGGTGACGGTGACCGCATCCCTCCGTGTTCGTCGTCGTCCTCGTGGCTGGTGACGACGGTTGTGCCTACGACGACGGTTGACGGTTGTACGGTTGACGACGGTTGCCCTCGTCACGGTGTCACCCAGCGTCTGAGCCCGACACATGCTGCTTAACGTCTCCGCTGAGGTGACCGCGTGTCTCCCCCGGAAGGGCACCGCCTCGCCACGGGGGTACCGACCCCCTCCGGCGGCCGTCCGTCGTAGCCTGTCAGGTTCCCCCCCCCCCCCCTCCCACGGTCACTGCTGTCGGGCCAAGGCACGTCTGACCCATCTGAGAGACACGTATGACCCATCTGAGAGGCACGTCTGACCCATCTGAGGCACACGTATGACCCATCTGAGAGACACGTATGTGTCTGACGCTTCTGGGAGACACGTGTGACCCAGCTGAGAGCCTCATCTTACGGTAGTGTGCCGCCGACAGGCCAGGCCGGCCACAGCCGAGCCGCCCCGTTCCGCGCGCCGCCCGGCAGACTCGGCCTCCAAGATCCCGGCCACGCAGAGCCACGCTATCGGCCAGATTCTGAGCGCGCTCAGCCGCACCAGCAGCGGCGGCAGCACCGGCGGCGGCGGCAGCACCGGCGGCGGCGGCAGCGGCGGCGGCAGCGGCGACGGCGACGGCGGCGCCGCAGAGCCGCCCGGCCCGGCCGAGACGCTGGCACGCACGGCCGCCGACATCCGCGCGCTGCGTCGCGAGATGGAGCGCCGCCTGCGCGAGGCGCGTCTGGAGGCCGCCTCGCCGACCGCCTCGCTGGGCTCGTCGCGCGCCAGCCCGGAGCCGGGCCGGCGCGGCGGCGTGCTGGAGCGGCTGAGCGCCCTGGACGGCGGTGCCGACAGCCAGACGACGCCGATGCCGGCGACGGCGGCCAAGTCAGACGCTCGGTTCGGCTACCGCTACACGGGCGAGACGCGGCCGGACCCGGCGCTGATGCCGCCCAGCCAGGGCCTCATCCACCAGATCCTGACGGCGCATGCTGCGCCGCCGTCGCCGTCGCCGCCGCCCCCCGCCGGCGGCGACGGCCGGGGCCGCTCGACTGCAGAAGAGCGGGGAGTGTGAAGGCGGCGGCGGCGGCGCGGCCGGTGGCGCGCGTGGCGCGCTCGGCGACCGTGCGAGAGGAGCGGCAGGCGCCACGGCCGACCGGCTCGCCGCGACCGCCGCAGAAGGAGAGCGGCAACGCGCGCGTGGGCCGCTACATCCGCAGTCTGCTGCAGCGCATCTCTGAGGTCCCCGACCAGTGATGGATGGCACGGATGGGGCGGCGGCGGCGGCGGCGACGGCGGCGCGGTGGTATGTGACGGAGGTGCGGTGTGGGCGTCGCGGTCGCGGGTCGAGAGGAGCAAGGTCTCTAGATCGCCGGCGAAATGCTGTGCTTTTCTTCAGAACGACGCGGATTGCTCTGGGCTCATACAGCAGCCTTGTGAGCTGGCTGCAAAGGCTCGAAACAAGACCCCGTGGAGCAGCCACGTTCGCCTGGGTGCGCGTCAGGGTCTTGCTCCGCTGTCGACCCCGCTCAGTCGCTGGCCTGCGCAGCTGAAGACCGCGCGGAAAGCTGTGGCGGCTGGAGCCGACCCCCGCTCCTCCCGCGCCGGCCCCTCCGCGGCCTCTGGGGCCTCGCTACCAAAGACGCCCGCCGCCTGTCGCCTCTGCTGTGATAGTTGGCCGTCATTCCCGCGATGTCTGCATTCCTCTCCGGTGACGTCGCCGTTGGGCTCCAGTGACGTCACCGCCCGCAGTGGTGACGTCACGACGTCGCGGCGTCTGCGATGTGCAATGTTCCCGTGCAGTTCTCCGCGTCTCGGGTCGGCGGCGTAGCACGTTCTCTGTGCGGCGCCCCTGGTCACCCGGATGGGGATTTTGTCGAGCCGTCTGGAGAAATGTCCACGGCAGTCTGCGGGTTTTTGAGGTTTGTCGCTGGATGTTGCGATTTTACGGGAACGGTTCGTGGTCGGGCTGCGGCTTTGGAAACGTGATACTTACCCGGGCCGGGCCAAAGACTGAGGCTGACGGGCAGGACATTGTTTTATGTATGTATCTATGTATCATATTTACAAGTGTGTGGTTCTGTGCCTTACAAAATATATGGTTGACTTGTTTGGAGTTTTTTTTTTCGCGACGGGACGTGACTGCATACGAGCCAACCGCTCCAGGAAGCGCAGTATTGTCCAGTGACGACGGCTGACCGAAGGGGGGCGCTCCGCCGGCCGGTACAAGGTGTGACATAGCGTACTCGGCGCTGGGTAGACAAACTTGACTACAGTTGAGGGAGGAGGGTCAGTTCTCTGCCAATTCTTAGCTGGCATCGCGTCCACGTGCGCCCCGGGGCCCTGGAACGTGGCGACAGCAAAACGGCCGATTTCTGTCCAGAAGCGCGCAGATAAATTGAGATATCAGCGATATTCCCCGAGCTCCAACGGCACACAAAGATTGCGTATTGACAGTCGGCTACGCTTTGTATGTTATAAAGGGCGAAATGCGAAGCAAACATTACGTAATTGACGACGGCGACTATCCCTGTATTGCCACAAACAGCGAATGTATTTCTGCGATCGATAGATGGTCCAGAGCGACACGACAGTTTATGAACACTGTACGAGAACAAAACACAGTGAAAAGACTGAGATCTAAGAACAAAACAGTCGCATTCCGGACATTGCGGAGATAAGCCTAGATTCAAAATAAACGTTAAACGCGAGGGCATGTCAGGCTTCATTTCCTAAGGCTTCCAAGACACGCAAATCCCATGTTCTCACCTTGCGTATTTCCACAAACAATACAGTCCTACGTCTGCCAGCAATGTAAGGTGAATAAATCATCATCATCATCATCATCAGTAAATCATCATCAAAGTCCATCCCACCTGCATAAAAAGACACCACAGCGAGCTCCGTAAGAACAGTTGCCGGTCCTTTTGCCTGATATGCGATGACGATGGCATGGTGGCTTATGTCGAAATCCTACCTTGACATGCTACCCTGGAACATGACCACCTCTTCTGTACCACCAGCCCCACACCAAGCACAGTCACGTGACCTGACTGCGCGGGCTGCCGAATGAACAGCACCACCCCCGGCCGGCCCAGCGGCTCCAGCACGAATCGACAAAGCGCAGTTCCAGCATCCAGTCTCGCTATCCACATCTTCTCGCTCCACACCTTCAGGACACTAAGAACATGTTGCTTTAGTCGCCTTGAGGGCAAGGCCGAGGAGACCATTGAGGTCGCCAGTACGGCCGACCGAGCGCCACTCAGCGCCACCCGCCGCGGAAGCCGGTTACCCTGCGCACCTCGGCCCGCGGCAGGTGGTGCACCAGCTCCAGGTGGCTCCGCAGGTTCTGCACGTTGCTGGTCGTCGTGCCGCATAGGTGGCACGTGGTGCGGCCTTCGTGGCGCTTGCGGTGCGCCACGAGCGCGTCGCGCGACTTGTACTTGCGGCCGCAAGCGTCGCACACGTGCGTCTGATGCCAGTCTGAGGGAATAAGGCAGTCAGCGGTTTGGGGATAGCATAGAAGGCAGACAGCGGTTTGGGGATAGCATAGGCGTAGTGGTTTGGGGATAGCATAGAAGGCAGTCGGTGGTTTGGGAATAGTATAGGTGTAGCGGTTTGGGGATGGCATAGAAGGCAGTCAGCGGTTTGGGGATAGCATAGGTGTAGTGGTTTGGGGATAGCATAGAAGGCAGTCAGTGGTTTGGGAATAGTATAGGTGTAGTGGTTTGGGGGTAGCATAGAATGCAGTCAGTGGTTTGGGAACAGCATAGGTGTAGTGGTTTGGGGATAGCATAGAAGGCAGTCAGTGGTTTGGGAACAGTATAGGTGTAGTGGTTTGGGGGTAGCATAGAAAGCAGTCCGCGGTTTGGGGATAGCATAGGTGTAGTGGTTTGGGGATAGCATAGAAGGCAGTCAGTGGTTTGGGAATAGTATAGGTGCAGTGGCTTTGGGATAGCACAGAAGGCAGTCAGTGGTTTGGGAATCGCATAGGTGTAGCCACTGGGGAGGGGAACATTTCTCCTCAATCCTCCCCCAAATAAAATGTTTTCCATGCAATTTTAAAAGCACGCGTATTTTTTACATTTTCTTATCAAAAATACCGTTGTCGGGCCGCGGTTTTCCCCCAGATTGCAGTTTGACTGAAACTGTTCTGAAATTTAGTTACATGCAAAGAAGGTCGGGAGGGACTTGTGGGAAGCACCATAGTTTGATCTGCGCAGGTTACCAGGGAGAGCTTCGGTGTGAAGAGTTCGGTTCAAGTAACTCAAGCCACCGACATTAGCAGCTTGGGGTTGCTTCCCGGCATAGTGAGGGCTGATATTGCGATAACAAAATTGCAATTTCGCAACGTGCTTGGGAAGCCGTGTTTTCGGTTTTGATGTACGAGGGCATAGACACAATTCAAGTGTACAAGATTGGATAGAGATGCGTGTATTGGGGCGCTGGTGGTGTAGTCGTGCCGCGCGTCTGAAAAAACCAGTGTTCCATTCTCCGCAGTACCCACGGTTCCCGCCGGCGCGAGAGGCAAGCGACGTTCAACAACCTAAGATACTAAAGGCGTCCTGACGCTCCAATGACAAAAAAGCATCTATAATATCTTCGTTCCGCCGCGCATTTTAGCGACAGCCTGCCTGCGTCCACCAACTTGACCTGGTCTGTCCCAGGCAGTGCAAGTTTTTGTGTATACATTGCTAGGCAACCGCTGTGCGCGGAGCTGTGCCCAGACAGGTATTGTATGGGGACGCAGTCCGTATGCAGCTGGCAGAACAGATACGCTTCTCACAAGCCGCTTTGACAAGATCGCATCGGTCAGCGTTGACCAGCAACCAGCCGTCCACGTTGTCCTTAAAGCACGGCTACTTTAAGAGCAATCATTTTGGGTGTGAGTGAGAAGGATGCATCACGAGACAGAGCAGCTGTTATTGGGTGTCACTGGGAGAGTTGCATCAGGAGACAGAGCAGCTGTTATTGGGTTGTGAGTGAGAAGGATGCATCACGAGACCAGAGGCAGCTGTTATTGGGTGTCACTGGGAGAGTTGCATCAGGAGACAGAGCAGCTGTTATTGGGTGTCACTGGGAGAGTTGCATCATGAGACAGGGCAGCTGTTATTGGGTGTCACTGGGCGAGTTGCATCACGGGACAGAGCAGCTGTTTATGGGTTGTCACTGGGAGAGTTGCATCAGGAGACAGAGCAGCTGTTATTGGGTGTCACTGGGAAAGTTGCATCAGGAGACAGAGCAGCTGTTATTGGGTGTCACTGGGCGAGTTGTATCACGAGACAGAGCAGCTGTTATTGGGTGTCACTGGGAGAGTTGCATCATGAGACAGAGCAGCTGTTATTGGTGTCACTGGGAGAGTTGCATCAGGAGACAGAGCAGCTGTTATTGGGTGTCACTGGGAGAGTTGCATCAGGAGACAGAGCAGCTGTTATTGGGTGTCACTGGGAGAGTTGCATCAGGAGACAGAGCAGCTGTTATTGGGTGTCACTGGGAGAGTTGCATCACGAGACAGAGCAGCTGTTATTGGGTGTCACTGGGAGAGTTGCAATCACGCGGTCACCTGGGTCGATACCCGAAAGGGTTCAGTCGGGTTCCGTACTGAGGATTTAGCGCCCCTTTGCGATATGAAGGCTCACTGTTACAACTTGAATAAAGGCTAACTTACTAAGCACTACGGCACGTAGCTACCAAGGATGGGCTCTTTAATATTTGAGTGGGGGGGGGGGGGGGGGTGCTGAATGCAAAATTATCGACATTTTCGATTTCCAAGCTCTTATAAAAAAGTCTTCTTAGAAGAGTTTGAAGTCCAAACCTCTCGCAAGAACAGAGAGAAACATTTGAGGATGTCACATGCCACTAACAAGATATCCAAGATCTCCGTAGCACCGAAAGGGTGATCACTGAACTGTCATTAGCATTACCAAATGCTCCAGAAAAGCCCAAGCAGATCTATCGCCTTTGACCTCACACGTTATTGCGGCGACCTTGGCCGGTGAACAATGCAACCAACGCTGTTTCCGCAGAAGCTGCTTCTCTACCGCAAACAGGCTCAGTTGCATCAAGCATTAAAGGGAGCGATCACATTTTTGTTGGACTTTAAAAAATGAAATAGCCATCTTGAAGAGCATTCGGTACAGCTCACAGCCCTGCACTTCTTAAAACCTATAACCCTCCAGTTTCTGAGCTACACGCCCACTAAGATGTGCAGACTATTTCAGGCTCGTTCAGCCACGCATGACGTCATGGAATAAACGTCCTCCGACGCCAAAAAATGATGTCGCTGAAATCCTGCCACACCATTGGTCATACGGCATTGGTCAACATAAGGCCAAGTCAGGTGGTCAACATAAGGCCAAGAAGGATACGATCGTCGAGTAGTTAATATCTGGTGTTGGTGAGCACAATTTTCTGGAAAATGACCAGAAAATGGAAATGACACAGAAAGTTCGCACGCCATAAAAACATCATTCAAATTCTGCCATGCCATTGGCCAAGCGGTCGTTTAGGCCAAGAGAACTATAATCACCGAGTCATCCATATCTGGTGTTCGTTAGCACGATTTCCAGACCTACCAGACATCAATTGGCTGTGTCAATGTTCTGCAGGCTTCATAATTTTCAATCACGAATCACGTTTTGTGGTACAAAATATAAGAAGTTGGACATAGGTGCTGGTTATTACGGGTATAAGACTCGTAACATAATACATTAAGAATATCGCCATAGTCGAGTATGCGAATACATCAAACACCATAAACTCACAAATGAATGGGCAAGAACGCCACGACAAGGGTCAAAACACGGGAAAATAACGATATGTGGTTCAGCAAGACCTCCAGCACCGCCACGAGTACCTCTCCGGAGATCGGAGTAATCTACGTGGGTTCCAGGATATTAATTTCGTAAGAACAGTTTGGCAGCACTACAAACGTTCCATGACGCAATCAAACAATGACGTATTGACAAGCATATTTGCCAAATAGAGAAATGTGTTGTCTAGAGCAGTCTTTCCCACACAAAAGCTTACCAATAGCTATAAATGTGCGTATTTCATCATGTCTGGTGCCTGCTTCAGTAACCTTAATTGTTGAGCATTCTTTTTAACCACCTGGAGGATTCTGCACGTCTCTACATCCGCTACGACGTTATCACACACCAACCAGTGAGCCAATCCTCACACAATCGCATGCCGTACAATGATCCCACAGTCGAAACGTCCGGCAGACGCACCATCCCAGCTCCCACCAGCTCCCCTACACCGCACATCTCCGCACGGTCCGCGCGCTAGCAGCGCACCTTCGCCACCGGCGGCCGCTAGAGGGCGCGGCGCCAGCCCCTCCAGCCGCGGCCGACCGTCCTGCGACGCGCCTCCTCCGTCGGCAGCCGGTGCACCATGCGCAGGTGCTGGCGCAGGTTGTGAACGGTGCTGATGTGCGCTCCGCACACGTCGCACGTGGTCGCACCCTCGTGCGTGCGGCGGTGCGCCGCCAGCGCGTTGCGTCGTCGGTAGACACGGCCGCACAACGCGCACGCGAACCCGCCTCCTGCAATGGCGGCGGCGGTCAGGACCATGGCGGAAGCGCCAGGGTCAGAGGCCAGGAGCGGGGGAGCAGAGCGCCCAGGACGCGCCAGGGCGGTGACCTGCCCATGACAGGTCGCAGGACAGGTTGCAGCCATTCTCACGGCGCAGTCTCGTGAAGTTCGGCGCCGGGGAGGGGCGAGGGATGGATGTTTCAATGCGCAGAGGTGTTCTGCTAATTGCAGAGTTTTTAAGAGGGGTAGGACGCCCGCATAGCACGTTCAAACTGGTGTGCAGCCGAGACCAGCACTGCGGGAGTACGGTCCCTTTAAAGAGACACAGCTTATGGCCATAACGCTAGGGTTTAACACATGGGTCAAGTGTACCTCCTTGGCCTAGATCATCAAGCTACCTGGTGTTTGCAATTGTCGCGAAACAGCCCAAGAAAAATTAAACTGAACACACACTTGGATGGCCGGTTGATTGCCACATGCTCGGAAGGGGGGGGGGAGGGAATTTGACCGCTGAGGTCCCAAAAACTAACAGGGCTAGGAGACCTCAAATTCACAGGACATGATGGCCTGTTTGTGAAATCACTTGTGTCCAAGGTTGAGGTTCCTTAATCTTGACCTTCGGGTCAAATAAGGTCAAACTCCAGATTGATGTCTGAAGTGCCGCAGACCTCTCATGCAACCGCCTAAGTCTAGACACCTGTTCTAAGCAAAATGTCACTGGTATTATTTTTAGGTATTGCTCTTGTTTCACCTTTAGAAGATCATGGTAACCAAAAAATCTACAAGATTATTTTGTTTTTTGAATTCCAATATGCGTGAAGCATTACGCTTGGCGGTATGTTCCTAAAAACAAAATGCTGATCTGGGTCCTTTCAGGTCAGTGAGCTCTCCGACCTTTCAAAAGGTTATGGAAGGTGTCTCTTGTGATCCGTGTGATCTAAAAAGTCGAAATAAGTATCAGCAACTATCTTACAAAACAAGCTCCCCAGTAAAAAAGCAGACCGGCTTTGACTTTCGCCTGGCCATCATACCTGGCCCAAGGTGCATGAAATATATCGTAATCCTAGATCAAATTGACTGTTTTTTTAACTATTTTTCCAAGAAACCATCTCAAACATGTGTGGCTTGTTGCACTAAAAGACCAGCAATTCAGACACCTTCAGGTGAGCAAAATTTGGTGCGGCTACGCCGCACCTTTCAGAGATCATTCTGGAAAAACCTTCGGTGTCGGCTCACGGTGGCCTCCGCCCTATCCGAGTGCGTGTTCAAACGAATCAACTACAATGATCTGAATTTCCGCTTGAGGCGGACATCAGCAAGACATCAGATCAGTAAGACAACTCGGGGCACGAGACAGGTGGAACACATGGCGGAGTGCAGAAGAGGAAGATAGAACGCAGCATAACCAAATACTTTCTTCCACAGGCAGTAGATTTGTCTAAGTTTGAAAGAGAGCTTGTTCTACATTTAAGAACAGAATCGACATTCCGCGTGCCATGACGTGGAGCGGAAAGACCAGCAGCCGTCTGTGTCATGTGCCCACAATCAGGTACCGGTCTTGTCACTGGGACTGATGTCAGGTTGTGTTTTCAGCGAAGAGTCTGGGATAATGTGATCATTGCGTGTCATGTTGTCGAGCATTGGCGTAATAGATCATTAGTAACTTGAGGCACGCGTAACTACACGGAAGCAGTGGGCGTACATCATCAATTTGAAATGAGGCAACGTAATTGCTGTCAAACCAGTTTCGAAAGAAACGCGTTTTTTGCCAAACAGCCTGCCTTCTATATCAACGGGATGCAAAGCTGGAGTCACCCATTCAAAGTGCAAGGTAATTTCCGAGAAAAAAAAAGGTCCTGGAGCACATCGCGACTCGCTCGGAAGCGATGGCACAGCTCATGGACGCGTTCGATTCATTCTCTCGTGCTTGGAAGCGATGACACAGCTCATGAACGTGTCCGATTCAGTCGCTCGTGCTCGGAAGCGATGACACAGCTCATGGACGCGTCCGATTCATTCCCTCGTGTGTGCTTTCCGCGCCGTTGTCACGCTAGTGTGAATACTCTCTCAGGTTTTCGCGCTGAATTCGCAACAAGCTGTTTTGAACTCCGTGGCCCACATAGTTTGGGCTGGACTGTGGCCAAGACTCTCACTTGTTGAGGACAAAACGATTCTTCCACGCCGTCTGCAGCGGTAAATGCAGCGGACAGAATTCGAAAGATCCCAGTAAATGCAGCGGACAGAATTCGAACGAACCAGGCCAATTTGGCTTTCTCATTAGGTCAGGATGAAGTCACGAAATACAACTCTGTCTCACGTCTTAAGGTTCTGGTTTGTAATGGTCAACTGACTGCAGATTCGGTCCCAGAAAATGAAGTCACGCGCAGCAGACTAACAGACCTTACATCTCGGTGTTATTAATTCGTGTATTCATATTTCCATTGTACAACACGGTTGATTTTTTGTGGTGCTTAGCTATAAATAATCTTGATTTATCGGCTTACACGATTATCAGTTACCGAGACCAGCATTTCGACTGTCCAGACTGTGGACAGTGCCATTCTGCAGGCGCATGGAGATATGTTAAGTGGTTAAATGGCTACAGCTCAATTTGTGACACAAATTCTCAAATCGCTAAAAGAACGAAAAATGAGAAATTCAGGTTTTACTGCGGCGGTGGCGTTCCGAAGCAACATAATGTGGGCGACAGCGATGAACATGGGCCAGCGTATATGATTTGGAACACCGTCCAACCGCAGAAGTGTGGAACCATGCTACATGCAACTAAACAGCATTTATAAACAAAACACGCAATCAAAAGAAATTGAGCACAGCTCACAGCATCAGTGCCTCACATAAGCTTTCAATTCCGGACAAAAATAGCACACAAAATCAAAATGTCCGAGGGCTCCATCTTACCTACACAATCACGCCAGAAAAACACACGGTGGACTGCAAACCTTTGCCATCTTCCCGGAGACAGCCCGCAGCAGCCGCAATGACGGGTAAGAACGCATGCGCAGTCAAGGCGGCGGCCACGATGGCAGGTTAAGGGCGCATGCGCAGTCATGGCGGCGGCCACAATGGCTGGGTAAGGGCGCATGCGCAGTCATGGCGGCGGCCTGCAGCCGTCTCAAACCACCAATGGTGCGGCAGCTCCCAGGAGTCGGACGGCTCCCAGGTGTCCAAACCACTATCTGGACCCGTTCCCATCACGGCACGCTATGGGCTGGTGCTGAACTGGAGTTGGAGGGGCCAATCCAACACTTTTACGGTGGAGGAAAAGGTAGGCACAATCACCGGTGTTGGCGCACTTTCAAGCTTTTTCCGCTGCTTTCATGGTTCCGCGTGAGCACCAAAAACAAAAATGGCTGCTCATGGGTCCGTTAGGCCCCATGCGTTTAAAACCGGGCGTTCTAAGCCACGAAAGACGCACAAGGTTCGCGGTTACACGGCCAACTAAAGCACCCACAACACCAGCAGAACACTACATGCGAGAAACTCACTCATGCACTACCGTTCATGTCTTCGTTTGTGTGACGGTGGGCCATTTGTTGGGATGTGCGGAGTGTAAAAGCACCGATACATTCTCCCAGAGAAGGCATGTATAGTAGGCCAGATGCTGCCCTGTTTAAAAGCGTTAGAAGGTTGCACACGGTTTCTGCCTGATTAAGGCAGATTCAGCAATTCCAGAACACTGCTAGATTCTGAACATCGTATATTGATACTTCGCGGAGCATAAGTATCCATGACACAATCACCACGAAGCTCGAGACTTCGTCCGGCATCCGTCTCCCCTTCCGTCGACGACCTTTCGGCGCCTGACAGCACCTCCTTCACGATCCGTTGCCAGAACCAAACTCCGACCGCCTGTCGCCGCATCCACACCCAGGTGCGTCATTCTTGAGATGGCGCTGGTTAACTTTATCACTCCACTTCCGCGCATCCCGAGATGTCACGACGCCTACATATTTCGTTCACAAACTTCTGGAGCTGTCCACCCATCCGCTTACCCTATGCTCCACTTTGTTTTGAAGGAGCAGTTGGCTGTATCTCTTTACCCTTCCTGGTTTTCTGGGCGACACCGGCTGACGGTGTGATCTCTATATTACTTAAGACGACGCGCCCGGCACAGGAGCGGCACAGGCTCAGTGGGGAGGCTGCCATCCCCCGCCCCCTTCCGTGAACTTGGACTCTGGCCTTCCCACTTTGAGACAGAAGTGGGCCAAATGCGGGATGAAGACCTTTTTTGGGGGGAGAGGTCAGGTCACGTCGTTTTTCACCGCCCCGACCCTCTCCAACTAAATTTGCGAAATTATGCCCCATGCCAGATAGACGTATTTTGCTTACTCCACGTTGAGGTTGACGGGGCTGGAAGTATATTCTACCCCCAACACGTCTTCCGCCTCGCGTACGCTTATTGACGATCAGCACCGCTCACTGACAATCAGTACCACTCAACACAATCAATACTGCTCGCTGACAATCAGCACCGCTCAGTACCGCTCACCGACAATCAGTGCCGCTCACTGACAATCAGCACCGCTCACTGACAATCAGCACCCCTCACCAACAATCAGTATCGCTCACTGACAATCAGCATCCCTCACTGACAATTAGTGCCGCTCAATGACAATTAGTGCCATTCACTTCCTACTGGTGGGCAACATTACAACACTACTTCCTGAGGAAAAACTGTCTCACCGCATCATCATTAGCCGTCTTCCTGATGGAATCAGGTGAGGGCATCCTTCAACCTCCACGTCAGCATCGGAATGAGCTGGCAGACCTTCCAGTTCCTGAAGAGGGCGAACTGTAGCGATCACGATGAGCACCTCTTCCTGGAGGACGCCAGACTGTCAAATTCCTTCCTGGGATTTATACAACCGCATCACTTCTTGGAGGACACCAGACTGTCAAATCCATTCCTGAGATTTATACAACCCCATCGCTTCCTGGAGGACATCGGATGACCGAATCCCCTCCTCAAATCCCACCACACAACCGCATCACCTCCTGGAGGACACCAGATAGCCATT